AAGGTTAACTTTGAGGTAAAGCAGTTCTATTAAAAGTATTTTTCTTAACCTTGAGACAGGAGATCAAGGCTCAGCATATCATTTTAGGTAGGTCTTTTTCCTACTACTGATGGCTTGATAAAATTGATGAATAGAATTTAAATACAATAAATGCAAATTTTCCACATCACAATTAGCAACATTGTTTCGTTCTTTGGTCTAATTAAACAGTCACATGTTGTGAGCATCATGTATTGATGTTCAGTATTATAACCAACAGAATTTCTAATTTAATTATCTAACTAAAGTATTGTATTTGTAAACTTGAGCCAACATTAGTTTTCAGGTTATCTTTATCCTCTTTACTAGAAGATCAATACTTCTCCAAAAAGTAGTTGTTATAAGTGTTAAAATGAAGTATTGTTACTAACTCCAAATTGACAAAATAATTTTTAAGTTACAAGGTTCATTTACAGAGTTATCTTAAAGTATGACAGTTTTTAAAAATATTAATGGCCATTTTAAATGTGAAAAGATTTTTTACAGACAAAATGTGTAGTATTGAAATGTTTAAAAAGAAAATGTGATATTTAACAGAGGATATTTTTATTTAATTTTTAAAGTTGTTTTCTATTGATTTTTTTTTTCAAAAGTATTTATAGAAAAGTAAAAGAAAAATCTTAGACTGCACACAGATTCTTTTCTCTCTTTTGCAGAAATTATTAAAAATACTAACAATATTAAAGCAAAAATATATTACCCAATACAATAGATACATTTGCTTTAAAAGCTTATTCCCAAAAGATGTCAGCATTTCTTGAATGGTGGTAAAAAAAAAATGGTTGTGAGAAAGAGAAAACCTGAAAAGAAAGAGAAAATGTATAAGGGAGAATGAGTGAGTGCAAATTGAACTTACATGTTCTAGGCAATCTGAGGAAAGAAAATAAAAGAAATTGTAAAATTATGAAAGAGAAGGAAAGAAATGTTCACTGGAGAGAAAGTTTGCATCAGTGTTTGTATGTTAGTATTAAGTGGTGGGGAACAGCAGTGAGAAGCAAGGTTAAAAAATAGTGTGTCTTAATGTAAAAGAGTTGTGAGTAAAAGTGAAGAGAGTGTGCAAAATATTAAATCAAAATATATTATGTGAATGAAAATGAAAAAAAAAGTTATTCAAATATGAGTGTGCAAGGATCAAATAGGGAGATGTGAAAGAACTTTTTTTTAACAAACACATTGTTGTATAAAAAAAAATTAGATAAGTTATATAAGATATTGCTGCTACATATGGTTTGGTGCCCCTGCTATTTACATTGAGCTCCTTGATCCAAAAAAGAATCAGCTATATTATTGGTCCTGATCTAGTGGCTCAGCTTCAGTCACTTTCCCACCACTGTAAGGTTGCCACCCTGTGCCTTTTCTATAAATAATTTCATGGTAATTGTTCAGATGAGCTCTTCGCCATGGTGCCTAAATTTTTTGAATTTAAGTGCAGTATTAGACAGGTGATGAGGTCTCATCAATTTATAGTTGAACTGGTTAGATGTAACTGTAAATTCTATGCTAACAGTTTCTTTTCTCACACTTCTCGCCTGTGGAACTCCCTTCTGGTTCTTTGCTTTTCAGCCAGCTTTAATCTACAAAAATTTAAATGCAATGTCAATTGCTGTCCTTCTGATAGAGTTGGTTGGTTTGGCAATTTATATTTTGGTATTGGTTTCCAGTTTTATTTTCCTTGATACTGTGGTTTTCAGTTAGGTTTTTCAGTTTTTAATTTAGTATTTTTGTTTTCTAAGGAAGCCATTCATTTTGTTGCGTAATGATAGCATTTCCAGTCGATATCTGATTTAGTTTGAGATTGACAAATTTGCAACTTAGTCCATTCAACTCGCAATTTCTTGTGTATTTCTGAACCAATCTTAAAAATATTCATATGGCTGGAAAGAAAATAAAATAATCTTTCTAAATATGTAATTTGTGTGTGCTTTTATTCATTATTATTTTACAGCGAGTTAAAATGGTATTGTGCTTTGACCAGCCAAAAATGCGAAATGATTTTTTTCAAGACTAAATTTTACATGTTACTTTGTTTTGCAAAATCAAAGTGACCAATCTTTATCAATATTCTTGAAATTGTACACCCATTTAGAAGACAATTTAAACTACAACCAGAAAGATGTTCATTTCTTCTCTGACCCAAGGAAGCGAATTCCTTCAAAAATTATAAAGTAAGCAAAAAAAAAAAAAAATACAGCAATTCTTTTCTGGTATGCCAGTCAACTATTATTATTATAAATCTTATAAATTTCTTCTAAACAAGGAAAATCAATGAGTTATTTTTCCCCCTAAATAAATTTGTTTTTATCTAGTAAATACACCTAAAATTAAATATTAAAAATAATTAAAAGCTTTTAATTTCATTTTTAGAATGTTTAGATTTCCAAATCTGTAAGTATCACCTGTTCTTTTTTAGATACACATTTTAAAACAGAAAGTAAAAACTATTTTAATCATTTTAATATATGATCTTAAGTGTATTCGCTAGATAAAACCATAAAGATATTTGTAAAAATAAAATGAATTAATTTTCCCTGTTTAGAAGAATTTTATAGGGAGAACAGTAACAAACACCAACCGAACACTAGTGGCTAAAAAATCATTTTTACTTTGGGTTTAAAAAAATGACTTGCAGTTTTGAAAATATACACATTTTAAAACTGAGATTAAAACTTACTTTATTTTTTTTTTTTAGGATCTAATTTTAAACACATTCACTAGATAGAAACATAATTTTATTTGTAGAAAACAGTGACTCACATATCTGGAAATATACACATCTTAAAAGTGAAATTAAGAACTATTTTAATTATTCTTAATATCTAATTTTGGTGCACACACTAGAAAAAAACAAATTTATTTATTAAAAAAGATCTTCATTCATTTTTCTTGTTTACAACAACTTTATTTTGTGATTGGAGTAACTTGGCTTATTAGAAAACCCTTACAAAAAATCCGACTTCATAAAATTTAACATTAAGATGAAACTGGCAACTATTTTTTTTATTTTTACTTGCTATTTTGTTGTTAACTTAATTTTACCACAAAAAGTTTTTTGTTTTTTTTTCAAAACTGAAACAAATAGATTTTAGACATCATGTTGTATAGATTTCACATTTATTTCCTAAAACTAGTCAAATGTTTTTAACATATTTTTGTTCAATCTTTTTCTCTTACATTGGTATAAATGTTGATAAAATTTAATTTTATTAACATCTGAAAGTCTTTTTCAATAGTGTTTCTTTGGATATGGTCACTCAGTAGTGATATAAGAATGAAACCAAAATTGTTCGGTTTCATAAAAACTTTTGATGCGGTTTCACGGTGTGAAGATAAAACCAAAAAAAAGTCGGTTTTTCAGTTAAGCAGCATATTGAACTTTCTAATTACTCTTTTCTCTTCCCACTCATTATTAATGTTTCTGTTCCTAATTCTTCCACACCCTGTAAACCCTTGTGTCTTAGTGGCTTTATTGACTTGCATTGGGTGATACCAATTTTTAAAAAAAATACAGGAAAGTAGAAGTGTGTGATTTTTTTTTTTTTTTTTTTAAACTGTTTCTCTTCCTCCTCCCTTGGTCATAACCAGTCTGTCTCTATAATGAATGAGAAATGGCAAAAACTAAGATTGGGCAAGTATCAATGGCTGAATACAAATATTTGTAACAATATAGAGAATGGCAGCTAGTAAATATGTATGTACATGTCCATACATAGTTAAATCTCATTAAGTTATTGCTAATATCTTCATGACAATATATTTACAACTTTCCCAGCTGAAATTAGATTCTGTCAAGTGTAGTACATCTTTGCAAGCATTGGCTGGATTACTCCATTCTTCAACATGTTTTATTGATGTTCAGTTTGAAAATACTTCACTTTGCTGCTATTATTTTACTGGTATTTTTTTCTTTTATATGTCACAGTCTCTTTTTTATTTTGGTAATATTTCTTTTTAAGAGTAAAATTTTCACATTTTAAGTGATTTTTTTTTTTTTTTAATTTCTTGATCATTTTACTCATACATTACTTAATTTTGATAAATATAACATAGTGATAAGGCCTATGCAAGTATGTTGCCATAGTTGATTATCAAACTTACTGTTCATAATCTTACTCTAAGACTATAACATGAATGATGTTTGCCTTCAATAAAATTCCTGGAACAGCTCGTTTATACTTTTCTTTTGGTTATGTTAAAAAATAAAAATAAAAATCATTTTGAACTTGTTATGTGTGACTACTAATGTGCTTGTTAGTTATTGGGATCAAAAGTAGCAAGCTAAATAATGTTATTTTTATAGAGCTATGGGTAAAATAGTAAGCCAAACTGGGTTCTCAAACAACCAATCTAGGAATAAAACAACTCTGAATTCAAAAGCCTGTTGAAGGCAATAGGAAAATTCAGAATTTACAGATATCCAAGAAAAGGAAATTATTGAGACATTTTTTATAGAGTCATGTTTAAAAAATAAAAGTATATCTTATATAAAAGTACAAAATTTTAATTGTATGGATGGATAGAATTTTGTCATACTCTAAAATGGTATATTAATTATGGTGTTGTAGTTTTTATTCTTTCTTAGCTTCTTTTCTTCTGCTTAAACAGTGTGTTAGAATTTAAAGTAATAAATCATTGCTTGTATTTTTAAGCTCAACATTTTCCTGCTAATTACTTTTACCTGTAAATTTCTTGTAATTACTTTATCTACCAGTTATTTATAAGTTAAACAAGAAAAAGATGCAGTTATAAACAATTCCACTTTTTGTAAACATTTTATATGGTTATCAATAGGTAGTGATTATCAGTTATTTGATCAATGACAGTATGAATAAATGGCTATAATTCTAAGTACTTGATAATTATATGATTTTCTACATTCTGCCATTTTGGGGGCTTGGTTTGTTTGTATTTTTTTTTTTAAATCACTGAAAATTTTTTAATATTTTATAAAACTTTAATTTCAGATGAAGATAGCAGTGTAGCAACAACAGAAGTGTTATCTGATAATAGTTCATGGTTAGCTGAGCAAGATTTGGTTGCTGATTCCATGTCATTCTCTTCAGACTTGCAAATCACTCAAGAACTTGAGATGCTTTCTCAAGAGGTAGCCAACAAGGGTCCTCCTCAATCTGATCTTGAACTTCGGTAAGAATTGCCTTTTCTTGAAATAATTGAAAATAAACTCTTCTAATTCAGATAAACATAACCAACCAAATTAAACTTACTATCACCCATTTAAATAAATTGTTTTAACTTGCATTACACTCCCACTCATAACACTTTAAAGGATACACTTCAGTTTCAAAAATTATGAAACATTCCAATGATAACGTTTCATAATTTTTGTTTCTCTGTTAAAATCACTTTTAGTAGATACCATCTGACATGTTAAATGATATTCATCTCCAATAGACAAAATGAAAACATATTTGAATATTTTAGCTTGTTAAAAATACATTGTAAATAAAAATGAATATTACTCAATATTTTATTTAAGTATTATTTTATTAAAAAAAAATAACTTAATTTCTTTAATAAAGGCTTACTCAGTTCTTTGAGGACATTTGTATGAATTTAGTAAAAGATACATGTCATAAAGGAAGTGCTTTATTTGAGAAAAAATTGGCTTTAATAATTTTGAGATTTTTCTTGACACATCTACTTAATGAATCCACCATTAGCATTGATAACTGCTTCATTACAAGGTCTAAAACCATGACCTAACTGAATCGCATCCTGGGTAAGACGATAAACTACATCCAACAGCAAGGCCTCTGATCAGGAGGTTTTGAGGAGCATAGAATCACCTCTTAATTGCTGGTGTTCCCAGGTCCACCCTGCCCTAGGGTGGTAGCATCCGTTAGGGTCCCAGCTATGGGCAAATAGTTAAATCACACTATGAAAGCATAAAAAAAGGTTTTAAAACCAACAATGCATTTTTGGAAAAAAAAAAAATTTTCCATCAATACATTTTGGAAAAAAAAATTTTCCATCAATACATTTTGGAAAAAAAAATTTTCCATCAATACATTTTGGAAAAAAAATTTTCCAGCAATACATTTTGGAAAAAAAATACCAGCAATATATTTTTGAAGGAAAAAATTATTAACAGGAATACATTATTACCATCAATACATTTAAAAAAAAAATATTACCAGCAATGCAGTTTTGGAAAAAATATTACCAGCTATACATTTTTTGCAAAATATATTACCAGCAATACATTTCTGAAAAATAAATGTTACCAGCAATAAAAATCTTGTCATCATTAAATAACCTATTGAGGTTGATATGCTGTAAACCAAACCATAACTGAATCATATGATCTTTATCTATTTTAGACATTGTGCTAGTTATGGTGGGCTTCAGAGATTTTATGTGGGTTTTGATTGACATCCATTTTGATTACACCCTATATGCCCAACAGATTCAGATTTGAAGAGCTAGGAGTTCATATGTTTGGGGTGATGTGCTTATGGAGATTGTAATTCATCCATCCTTGGGTTTTATTGGTAGGTGTACAGTATTCCTTTACTCACACTCTCTATCCAATACCTCACAACTTTCTCCGACACCTCCTTAGTCAGCACCATTAACCCTTAAGTTCTGAGGAAAGAAGTGAAGAAGCGTGACAACTCTCTTGTTCCTCATGATTCCAGAACTATCAGAGTTTTCAGAAACTTTTTGTGCATGACCTTTGGAACATCCTTGGGGTCTTTGCATAACCATCTGTCATTCCTTTGGTTGACATTTTTGATCCTGATCAAAGCTTTTCTCATTCAGGCTCTTGATGATTCAATTTACTCAACAAACACTTTGTGCAAATCAGATGATTATCTTTTGTCTTCACATACATGAATTGGCCTCTCTGCATCACATATGACTTGTATCAAAGGTCTTCATGCACAATTCTTCTGAGAGTGCCTTGAAACCTTGAGATCCTTACCAATGGCATTAATTAAATTGGTGGCATTTTTATCAATAACCTTCTGCACCTTTTCATACAAATTTGAGTGTCCTGATGGTATTAGAACCTTTAGGAAGTATTTTACATTTGGCTACTGCTCTAGAATCCCTGTCAGCAGCTTCCAGCTCCTTGACAACCAATGACTGTACAGCCTTCAGGAAGTAAGCAATCTCTAAGTCACTATGTTTCTGCCTTAAGGCAACTATTACAGTGTGCTGCTTCCTTTTTGTGTGTTAGCTTGATGCTTGTCATCATTTATCTGAAAAGAAATGATAATCAGAAGTTAAGAAAAAGTTAGAACTATTAAAAGAATTGAGCAACCCTGTATTAACTTTATTAAAGATACAACTATATTCTTATATTTTCTTGACAAAGTTACATGATGCCTGAATCCAAACACAGATAATGTTTTGTTGGATAGTGTGTGCGTACAAGGTGTAATGGATAAATTATCATCTAAATTATGCAAAAAGGAAAATAGCACTGACATATCATTTTAACAGATATATTTATCAAAATTACACAAAAATATCTTGAAATACTAAAGACTAAATGTATTCCATAAAATTGCCATTGGCTTCAACAACAGCCTCCAGACGACTTCAGAATCTCTTGCAACTCTTCGGGACAATCTCTTTTTTTTAAGTTGGTGATTGCTGTCATAATCCTTGCCTTCAGTTCATCTTTGGTGTTACAAGTAGTTTTGTACTCTCTTGCTCAATTGCACCCCACACATAATAATCAAGGGGGTTGCAGTCTGAGAAATTAGGTGGTCAGATGTAAGTAGTGATGTGGTTACAGAAATTGTCTGACAGCTAATACTAGGTTGTGTGGCATGGTGCAGAGTTGTGTTGCCTGATATAAGGTCTTCCAGCAGCCACCCTCTTAATCCAGAGCAGCACTACCTCCTTAACGCACTTGATGTAGGCCTCCATGTTGAGTTTGAGGCTCTCACCAACAAATTCAGAAGTTCTTTTCTAAACCACAGGGAGTTTTCTGAGCTGCTGTACCTTCATAATCACCAACTCATGCAACTCTTTCCAAATCCTCTACACTGTCCTCATATTGACATCCAAACACTTTGAAATGTTTGTATTGGAGATTCCAGCATGAATGCCAAGCAGTACAGCATGCTGTATCCAAATTTCTGGTAGATTGACTTGTGTCATTGTGCTGTTTTTCTCACAGAGGGTGCCCCACTAACCTTACTATACTGTGCAGTCGACAAAATCAAAAACAAATATGTGTGTGAAATTGAAACTATAAAAATGCTGACAATTTATCCATCAAACCGTGTGTGTATATATATATATATATATATATATATATATATATATAATGTGAGAGAGAGAAAATATGTTTGAATGACGTATCATGAATAACATCATTTTTAACTATAAGCTATGAAAATATTTTTCCAATATGGATATATAGCCAAAAGTAAGTTTCTAGTAATCCTTTGAAGAATTTTAATTAATTCAGGAAATTCAAATAAACTTTAAATGGAATAAAGGAATAAAATAACAAAAGCCAATAAATCTATTTGCCTGAAGTCTAAATATTTGCATCTCCTACAATAAATATGGTTGCAATTGTTTGTTCAACAAGAATACTTTCTACATGGCATCCTATTATTCTTTAATTTAATGCATATTAAAGTTAATAATTAGATAATATTTTCAAAACTTGGTTTAATTCTAGCAGTAAAAGATTGGAATATCTTCCAATTCTTTCAATCCTGTTTCCACTAAAAATAATCTATGTTAATGCTTTTTAATTTGTATGAAATGATACTGAAAAGTTTTCAACCTGACCAATTCTGATATTTGGTCAGATTTTGAAGAGTCACTCAGTACTTTTCAGTGCTCTGTTGTAGGAATTTTAAAATTTGCTCATATTTATAAGCTTGTAATGTATGTTAGAGTAATTTTTTTACAATTTTTCATAGCAAATCCTGGAATGAAAAAGTGTAAACTAAATTTGATTCTATATGATTTTCTGGTATCTTGGCATTGTAAAATATAATTTTCTCTAATATTTCTATAGTTAAAGGCGAAGGCATTAGTTTTTGTTGCCTTATCAGAGGCAGTTTTATAAAGATCATTGTAAATCTTGATTTGTCTGAAGCATTTCATCAGTGAAAGGATGGATTTCAGCATTAAAAGCTTTGATAACCCTGATATATTTTTTTTTGTGTGTGTGTATATATATATATATATATATATATATATGAAAGAGAGAGATCTTGCATATGAATTAGTATTGAATTATTAGTTTTGAAAAGTAGATTCATTAAACCTGCATTTCTTAAAGTAAGCAGCCAAAATGAGTGCGTGACTTAATTAATCTTACCATTTTGTAACAGTTTTCCAGGCTTTTTTAGCCATAAGCTGACTAGAAATTTTGAAGTTTTTTACATTTCATCACATTTGTAGCATGAATAGGTTTTGATGGTTGCTAAGTAAAACATTTCAAAGGTCCATATTGTTAACTTTTGTTTTGAAACTTTGTTATGCATCATTCATTTATTTTTTCAGATTCTGTTTATTCTCTTCTCTCAAGACTGAATAATTAACAATGACATGATGCTTAGTTAATCAAAAGAGTACACTAAATTTTTATTCTGATTTCTAAACTTGATTAGATATGGGGATTTCTTTTACTCATATATCTGTGCACAAGTCCCTCTACTATCATGAGTCTAGATCCTTATTGTCAGTTCTTTAATAGTATGTCTGCCTCACAGATTAGCTCCATTGTGTATCTGTCTCTTGCATTTCTGATCATGTTTTGTTCACATTGTAACATTTTGTTATCAATACCTGACCAAGGCAAAGTGCCTTGTCCTAACATTTGGTTGACCATTTGAGTGGGATAAACTTGTCAGAAGATGATTTCCCTAGTGTAATCCAGGTTAGCAAAGGTTACATCTCCACGACCTTTTCTACTCAGGAGGATCAGTTTCATGATGTTGGTTGTCTGCCTGAACAGCTTTGACATTTTCTTCAATAATCAGCCATTCTTAGTGTCTTTCTGATCCTGTATCACTAAACTAATGACAAGAGATGTGATCAATCAGAAATATGAAAAACATAAAAGACTGTTACTGAAAATATATATATATATTTTTTTGTACACTTATCTGATGGATTTAATTATCTATATAAATTATGATGAACATAACTTGATAAAGTTTTTCATTTTTTTTTAAATGCAGCACATGACTAATGTAGCTTGGTACTTATCAGTATACATTTTGCTATTTAGTTATTTTATATTTTATAATGTTTACCTCTTTGGGATTTGTGCTGTTATTTATTTATAAAGTTTTCTTACAAAATTTCAAATGGTTTATCAATTATCTATATCTTAGTTAACAGTTTTGACAGGACAGTTAACGTTATTGACAGTTACTGTCAGTAGTACTTAATTTTTTTATGAAGTAACATATATTGAGCAAACACATAACACATCAACCCTTTTATGGCTATCTACACATTTGTTTTAATGGTTTTCAGGCATACCAATTCCCATAAATATATATTCAATGTGATATTTTTAAAGTATCTTTTACTTTTATAGAATGCAAAATGGATACATTTTCAAAGGAAAATCTGTCTTGTTTTCATCATTTTTTCAAATGTTATCTCTTTCAATAGTTAAAACATGTCCTTTTGACATTTGGAGATCATACTAAAAATATTGAGACACATGTCCATCTTATAGCAGTGGTTTTGTCAGCATTTTTTCATTACAATTATTATTAAATATTCTTACAGACTTTGCATACATTGCATATAAAAGTTTATTCAATTTTCATCAACTTTGTCATTAGGAAAAAAGAAGAGCTGGAGAATAATTTGATATAAAAATTATTTCCATCCATATATATATATATATATATATATATATATATATATATATATATATATATATATATATTTTTAAATCAACAGAAGAATTTGAACATCTGATACACTTGCATTTAATGATATACAGAAATTTAGCTCATTATTGATTTTTAATAAGGCTTTCTATATTTATTGCATTATTGACTATATTTATTAAAAAGGTTTCTTGTAAAAGAAAAATGGAAAAATATAATTCTATTTAAAGTAAAAATCACTATGAAATCTCAGTAAAATACAAGTTTTTACAAAAAATTTTGTAAAATTAAAAAAAAAAACATTTAAAACAAATGTTTTTATGAATTTAAATTTTTTTTTTTCAAATTTAACCTGTTTCAAAATTCTTACCATAATTTCTTTCAGCCCTTCATTCTACCTAAAATGTTATTAAATAGTAAGAATGTTTAAGATTTAGAAATAATTTTCCCTACCCACCTACCAAAAAGAAAAACAAAAAGCAGGTCAGGTATGACTTTGTGATGTTTCAGAGGTCTTCTTATACAATAATTAGATTATTTTCTCTTAGACACTTATAAGCTTGTCATAATGATGCTCAAGTAAAACAAGTCCAATTAAATATTTAAGTAAATTCTTATTTTTACTGAATATTTTGATGTGTGCACATACTGCAGTTTTCTACCTTTGAGCAAATTTGGCTGCTTGTAATTTTAGCTTGCAAGAAGTTACAAGAATTTATAATTTACGACATTAACTCGTGTTCACCAACTCAATAAAAAATTTGAAAGAAACAGCCACAAGTGAAACCTATTTTTCCAATTTTCACAAATGGATGAAGGACTATTTACGCCAAGGAGGAGTTATAAAGGAGCAAATATTTTGAAAGCAACAAAAGAAAGGCGACTATAGATTGATTGTTCACATCTGGAAGGGACATCTGGCACAGAGAGGGGTCATAGGTATTCTAGAGATTTTGTCTACTCTTATAAACATTTTGTTAATTTCTCAAAAGTATGACATTAATTGCTATATGACCATATATACAAAAATAGAAAGAGGTGTAAGACAAACATGTGTCATCTCACCAGACTTATTTGACCTATACAACAAGGCAATTCTGAGAGAATTAGAAGTTCTACCAAGATTCATTATTGGCAGCCACCTTCTTAACAACATAAGATATGCAGATGATAATGTGGATAAATGACACAGAGAGGAAACTACAAGAACTACAGAAGATAGTAATGGAAAATGAGAAGAAAGGAATAAACATCAATTGCAAAAATATGGAATGAGTGGTTGTTAGCAAAAGAAACAGCCCAACATGTAAATTGCACATTGGCAATACCAAAATCAAGCCATTACAACAATTTAAATATCTAAGAAGTGTTTTAACAAGGGATGGAGAAGGCAACACTGAAATCTGAAGGTGCATTGGAATAGTGAAATATGCCTTCCAAAAGCTAAGCACAGTATTAAAAAAAAGAAAGAGTACTGAACTGTTATGTAATATCACTCCTCCTATATGACAGTGAATACTGAACAATCTCCTCACAGATGAATAAGGGACTTGAAGCAACAGAAATGTGGTTCTATATAAGGATGCTGATAATAACATGAACTGAAAATGTGAGCAATGGCAAAGTTTTAGAGAAAATGGAAACAAAAAGACACTTATAATTCACATCAGGAAGAGATAGTTGACATTTCTAGGGTACACAATGAGGAATGAAGAAAGAGGGCTTTGAAAATTTGATACTAACAGGACCGATTGAAGGCAAATGCATTTCATCTGCTAGGATCTCATTGGACTGGGCTTTGTTGATGTTGCCATGTCTACACATGCACACAAAACAAGAGATGCATGTAGTTTCAAAATTTTTGAAAGAATATTTTTTCAATCTAGCCAAATTTATCTGTATTCTTTTTCTCTCTATCACCTTTGACCCAGACTTGCCCACAATATGACAACAGAAAATCTACCAAGAATGGTGATATATTATAAGTGCCTGGATTCATATTTACTGTGGCTGAACTATCAATCATGGCACTTTTCAAACATTTTGGTCTTGGTGGATTGTTTTCTCTTTTAATCAAATAATCTATATCAAAATTGTGGTCAGTTTCATTATGATGAATAACCAATGCATAAATTTGCATCCAGGCTCTTACAATATATCATCATTCATGGTAGATTTTCTGTTGTCACAATGTTAGAGATATATACATGCACATTTGAGAAAATTTCACCAAGCAAGGATAGTTATTCTTTATATACAAAAGTTGTCTCTTTTGGCAAAATGAAATGCAATTGTTCATTACCTGTGTATCTTTTTGCAATGAACTTTGTTTTAGTAAAATTGATTAATATCATAGCAAGAAATGTGCTATGTATGAAAATTATTCTTATTTTTTGAATATTCTATTATTGATTCATTGTTAGAAAGTTTTGGTTTTTTTGTTTTACTCTTGTATGCCAAAGCCATAAGTTCTTTTTAAATATAGTACACTGCAGTCACTATTGTTTTTTTCTATCATTCATTCATTCAGTATGGATAAATGTTAATTGTTATTGTATTGCAAACTTGTAGAATGTAAAGAAACCTCTGGTTCTTCTCATAAGGGACATCAGAAAAATAATCTCATTGACTTAATTTATCTATAACAAGATTTTCCATGCACTTCTCTCAAAATTATATTCACTTCTTAAAGTGTGACTTCATTTCTTTTCCCTAACAGATTTTTATGACTAATTTTCAGATATACATGTATTAATATAAACTCTGCATTTGCCTCAAAGCAATTTATAGAGATTTTACATTTATATTAGGATAAAAATGTTTAAATTGATGTCTTTGTGATGTTTCTTTCACCACAGGTATCTGCTACAGGTGGTCCTTGAAGCTGGGTGCCTAGAATGGGCTCTCATTATTGCCGTGGTGCTAAGAGATGCTTTGGCTGTAGTTCGTACTGTGAATACTGCCAGCATGACAGACACACCACTAGAGATTGTTGGCCGCATGAGAGAGGGTTTGTCCTACCTGGAACTCTGGGCCGAGACTGAGTGGTAAGTTCTTAAAATTTTTTTTTTTTCATTTTCTCTTTGCATTAAAAGAAAAATACCTTTTTGAACAAAAAAAAATTAAATATCTATAGAAATGTTTTCTGAAAATTTCAAATAAAATATTGTTGTCCCATGAATTATTGCAATTCAGTTTTTAGCACATTTTGGGCAAAATATATTCTTTGGATATATGCATACACACCTGAGGAAGGCCAAGCTACACATCAGCTAAAATGTTATACTAATCTAAAGAATTCATGGAAGGATAAAGGATAATGCTAATTTTCCCTGAATACAGTATGTGCTTACTAGCGAAGTTTATATTCTGATAAAATTTTAAATCTTCTGACATCTTGTGATTTAGTGAAACTTATGCCAGATCATTATCTATATCTGTGTCTTATTACCAAACCTGTCTTTCATCAACAATGAATGTGATATGATGGGATAAAGCCTGATTTGTCCAGTTAGTCCAGCTATAATTCTTGCCCTATGATATCAACAGGCACAGGAGGCAAGGAATAATGTATCAATGTATTGTATTCACCATTTGTACAATTAATATGCATATGAGATTACAGGTCTGCATTAAACCCAAAGAGAATATACAGAGTTATTAATATGGGGTTTGATTATTGTTGACACAACACTTATTTTGGAACCTGTCCACATATTGATCTCTACATGTGATTATTTACTATAATTCAGCTATGTTAACCTTACATTTAATCTTGAGTAAATTGAAACATATTCATGGTGCTGCAAATTTTATTTTCTGTCTGTGTATTTATTTAATAATCTTTGTCTTCCATTTATTGAATCAATTAGTCAAATAAGTTTAGTAGTTATTATAGTTAAGTCAGATACTTAACTATCATTGTTGTTAGCATTTCTTTTTTTCCATGCCTTTTTGATGATTCATCTTAATTACTTTTTACAGTTTCATAACTTTCTGATATGTAGAAAACAAAATATATATAACAACTGAGCCTTGAAATAGATACTGTTTCTATTAGGTAAATTATGATACCAAACAAGAATTAATACTGTATATTATCAAGATACACTGTGTCTTAATGACATCAGTTTTAATCCTAATTTATTCCTGCATTTTTTTTTCTCTTACTTAAATGCTATTGGTATTTATTTTCTTAATCTTGAAAGAAGGAAACTATTATGAATTTTTTAATTGAATCCTCTTGACAGTAAACAATCTTGAACTCTATTTAATTTGATACTGCATCTAAAATTGGATATTCTATCCTACTTGATTCAACTAATTATCCTGCTACATTCTGATTTTATCAATCTCTGGAAAAATTGTTTTTGAATTCTATAGACTTTGTAAGATTTGAAGACTGAGGTTTTACTTTGATATTTTCTCTTGGTTATTTTGTCTTCATTGATTTCTCATTGTGATGAGTCATTCTTCAGTCAATATAGTTTAAAAATGCAGAGAAATAAATAAGTGATTTATGCTTTTATTACCTACCTCATTAATTTCTTACTTGTCCAACATAACATTTTTCTTTTCTTAGAATGTTTTGAATTACTTGGAACTTTATTCTTCATATATGATGATCTCTTTTCTGATTAAATTGGTGATATATATATAAAAAGCAAATCCTACTGAGAAAGGCAATCATCTTATGGATTTTTGCTTGTCTGGTCCAGTGTAAAATAAGTAATAAAATAACTAAATTTAACAGCACATCACAAACATATTGAGTAATTAATGAAAAATGGCTTCTTGTCATTATTTATATATCCTATCTCTGAAAACTTTTCCAAAGCTCAGTTTGAAAAAATATTCTGGATGTTTCATGCTATGGCCATGTGATCAAATAAACAAAACCAATTATCTTTCTTCAATCCATAATCAAGATACAAAAATTGCTCAGAAAATAATGCCTTCCATTTTATTATGTCGTCAGGTGTGATTCCCGCCAATAATCTGTAATTTTTTCCCTGATTACAGATAAGTTGAGCAACAGTTTGGCAAAATGGTATCTCACATGAAAGTACATATGATATAGAAGTGTATCATTAAATTCTTCTATGAAAAAACATTGCACCTATTGACATCTGTCAATGCTTACTAGATGTTTACAGAAATTAAATGGTGGATGTGAGCACAGTTATGCAATGGGTAATGTATTTATGCAACTATGTGTGAAAAAGTGGGTTGTCTCTACTAGTGCAGCATGCAGGCTCTTGTTCATTGCTGGGGAAAATATATAACCAGTGGTGGTGACTATGTGGAAAAAATTGTTTTATAAGTGAAAACTTGCTCTATCCAATGGTATTATAGTGCTCACTGTATCTGTTGTTTCCATGGAAATAAATAGGAGGTATTACTTTTGGATCATCCTTTGTAGAATTGTAGTAATTGTTGTAATGAATAAAAGGAAATTTGCAAGGTAAGTTCAGTAATTTATATCATAAAATATTGATAAATTGGCTAGACAAAGATCATTAAAAGAAAAAATTAAATCTTTAGTCTGCATATCTTCACCTTGCAGAAAGGATATTCTGGGTACAGAATATACATGGCATAAAGACAAATTAATACAAAAGAAATTGTTATGAACCAAGAAGATAGATGGGTAAATATTTATATCACTATTCAATAATCAGATTTACAAGTATGCAGGAATACTGAGTGCTAACAAAATAATATAAAAGATCTTGTCCGAGATTCAATATCAAACACACACCAATCACTTTTAACTAGTATAATTAAAGAATCAGTTACCTATGACCGTTTCATTTAATTACCATAAATCAAGCAATTCAACATTTTTTTTTTTTAACTTCTATTTTCAGTGTTGGTTATAAAGCATTCTTCCGCTCTATCCGTGGCCAGATTCAGGTACTTGATAAAGTGGTGGATCTGGCACCAACTGTTGCTAAACTGACAATATTGCCTGTGGAGGACAGTCCGGAAGAAACAGAATCATCAGCTATCTCACCTGTTGCTCAAACAATACGGACCGAGAGCATTGACCAAAACTGTGCTGAACCATTGATAGATAAAGAAGAAAAAAACAATGACTGTGTTTTATCTTGATGATGGTTCATTATTCTAAAACTGGGAACAATGGACAATTATTTCTTACTTTTTTTTTTTTCTTCCATTTTTGGAAATCACCTCATCAGCCACAGACTTTTGCTTCCTTCCTATTTTTCCTCAAGAACTCTTTTATATATATATATATATATATATACATACACCACCAAAGCTTTATGTTTCCTTATCCTCTTCCAATGAGCTCTCAGTCTTTGTTTTAATTTGAGAGATTAAAACCAATTTTCATTTATGACTTGGAATTTTTGATAATACTTGAAAAAAAAATGTACATAAACACAGCTTTATATTTTGTGACTCAGTTTGCTAAATTTCTCCTTCTTCCCACCCTCAACATTATTCATTATGCTCATATATTCCATATCTTTTCTATGTTTGTCAGAGTATTATATGCTCACAATAGCACTGCTGATTATTTATGGCAAAAGTTGCACACTAGCTACTTGTGAGTTCATTCAGACCGATATCCTGATCTATTTCAGTTTTGTTTGCTTTTGATAAGCATTTTCTGTAATCATTTTAGTTAGCATTAATCTGAATAAACCCACAAATATCAATAATGTTTAAATGCAACTTTTGCAAGTATGTATGTATAACATATATATGTGTGTGTGTGTGTGAGAGGTAGAGGGAGAGATTTTATACACATTTTAAAATGGCATCTCCTTTGTTAAACACTTAATGTGAGTTGTTTCTTTTCTATAATAACTTGGTAACAACAATGTTTATGAATTCTTATGTCCTTTGGGAGATTGCTTCTCTAATACCAATAATTACAAAACATTAAATTCTTATGTTGCTCACAAGCACCACACTTTCTTGTAGGTTAATGTGTCACTTGTTAAAACTTAGTGCAATTCATACTCATATTAATCAATAATATCAAAATACTATACAGCATATACACTCTGTAAAGAACTCAAAATACTTGACGCTATTATTAGTAGTAAACGAAACAACCTGCAATATCTTTCACCACAGGTGACATTTTAAAATGTTCATAAAATATTTAAAATGCTTATGAAATAATTTGTATGTATGTATGTGTGTATACACAAAGGAAAAGGATCTTTATACCAATCACTACAAAAATCAAAACTGCTACAAATCTCATAAAAGGGACCATATTCCAACATACAAATATTGAAAAGTTTGTTTTGTGAGATGCATTCAACAAAAATGACTGTAAAACTAACTTTTAGCTCAGATATTCCTTGCATTATTAATATTACTTTTCTCTATGCTGTCATGTTGAGTCTCGCTTGTGTAGTATGTGGAAGAACTGAATTCTATTCCTAAATTATTATTACCAATATTTGTGGTCTTTTAAATATAAACTTTTATCTAAGAGCTTTTTGGATATTGTTATCAACATTGTAACAGAATGATACTCTTGCCCCCCAAAATTGATTTTCATTTATTGCTTAAATAACAAGCAATATTCATGGCAAAAATATTAGGAATAGTTGCAAAATCTACAAAAGGCAAGTGGCCAAAGCTTTTAAGAAATCTGAGTTAATTTAAAAGTTTAAAAAATGGTTTCTTCTATATTTTTTTAATGAAATGCTTTTGAAAAAATCATCACCAGAAATTCTTTATAATCAAAACTTATGTCTTTGCAATTTTTTTAATTATACATTGCAAGTAACCAGAAAGCTGAAAAAACATTACTTCTATTAACAAAAGTCATCTTACATTTCAAATGCTATGATAACAGTTAGGAAAAATTTCAATCTTTATAAGATATTTTTTTGCATGTTTATCATAAATTTTGAGCTCTATTTGCTATGTGGCTTGCTTATTCCTTGTGCTAAAAAATATATGTTGCCATGAAAATTGTCAGAAAAACATTGAACTCCTGAAGCTATTAGTGTTGTGATACTGATATTTAAGTTTTCCAGTATTTTTTCAGTGATTGACAAGTCTGACTAGACATTTTTAATTATTCTTACTGTTTTCTTGTTAAACTTTTGCATATAAATGAGTAAAGACAGACAAGATATATAAAATTTTATTTTATTTTTACAGAATATTAAAGCAGATATTTATTGAAACATTTTGATTAAAAATGATTTGTTTCTCTAGAAAGATGTAATTCAAAATCCTAATTTAGTAGATATTCTGTTCAAGAAATTAACTCTTTGGATATGCAAGAATGGAAATGATTACAATCATTGGTTTATTCAGCTTTTTTATTTTTTTAAGTAATCATTCAAATGTTAAATCGCTTTTTTAATTGAAAGTGATAGTCATGGAAAGACAATTATTTTATAACCACTTTCATTACCTCAATATGGGTTCAAAATAATAACTAAATTGTAATCCCGCTAATTCTGGGCAGAGATCAGTTTTAATATCTGAGATATTTTATGTACCTGGATACATAGTTTATCTACATGCTCTCTCTGGTTAACATTGATTTTAATTTCTCCTTTTTTTAGTATTATTCAATTTATATATTACGGTTAAAAAAAAAAAAAAAAAAACTAAAAACTAATTCTATTTTTTTAGCATGACTTGATCTATAATGCTATTTGTGTTAATTCTAAAAAAAAGTAAAGAAATAAACTAGCATTAGTCAAAAATTGATTAAAGTAAATATGATTTTAAATTAAAGTTCAACAAATTTTTTTTTTCTTTGCTAAATTTATTTTAACTTTGGTTTAAAAAGCTGTCAAACATTGTGAATAAGTATTTTGAATTTAGCTGAAAATATCTAAGCACAAACACATGTATTATCTTCATCATTATTCATTTATAGATAATGTGGATTTCTCTATCAAAAAATGACTTCTTTATTCAAACATGATTCTTTCATAGCTGTCTATGTTCTTGTCTCATGTGTTTTGTGTGGCTATAATTTTCATGGTGACAACTGATGATGATCAGAGATCTCTGCCAATTAAAACATAATGCATGCTTAGCTGAAGATATATCATTTAGTTTTATATCTTTCTATCTGGTATATTCTGATCAGTGTTTGTTTTGTTTCTTAAAATGTCTACAAAACTTTTAAGCTATTAGGTCATCCAATCATACATATACAAGATTGAAGTACTAAACAGTAGAAAAATGGTCAGATTGCATGTCATTAATTGATGTGTACAAAATGTGAAAACATTTTTACAGAATGCAATAATTGTTTGGCCCTGCCTTAATTTTGAGGTAATTTTTTTTCTTTCAATTTTCTATCTTCTTCAAATGCTGGTATAGGTTACATTTGGTTTATATGAGTACAAAATGGTTAAATATTAGGTTGCTTTAAAGAAACAGCTGAATTTCTTAATGACGGGAAATTATTAAGTTCATAACTATATTTTAATTGTCTACTTGATGTGTATGCCACAATCTTTTTAGGAGAAATAAGAATCTGATATCACTTGCATTTTTAGTGTTAAAGATGCATATTCACTGAAATGCTAAAAGTGATGAGATATGTGCCTAGTATTCTGTCAGACCACTGTATCCTGTCAAAACAACTTGAAGTGACATCAATTCCACAAGTTAGCTCAACATCTCTACAAAAGTCGTTTGATGTTTTGATAGATGTTCATAGTTCCCTGATATTTGTAAGTGTACAATCTTGTGTGCAAATAAACTCCTCCACCATGTTCCATGAATGGTGAACAAACCATTAATCAGAAACCTCCAGAATGCCTCTAAAACTAATTCTGGGCTATTTGAATCTGATGACAAGTTGCATTATCCTGCTGGAATAATCCTTCATTGTTGAAATAAATAAAGTCCATGACTAGATGCAAATAGTCATAAAGCAGTGTAACATAGCAGTCAATGATGTGTTTTGATGGACCAGCAGACCAAACCCATGCTATGTGAACAAACTGCACACTATTATGGGACCATTACCAGCCTGTACAGTGACTTGTTAACATCTGGGGTCAATGCCACATCTGAACCCTTCCAGAAACTTGAAACATAACTCGTAACTCGCTAGTCCTCCAGGGTTCAATTAGTGACATCACAAGCCCAGGTGAGGTGCTGTGTCTTCTGCTCCCATATACCACTGACACAAAAGAATGATGAATTGAATGAATTTGAGTCAGTCCAGTTTGTCTGTTGCCAAAGACAATTCTAGTCTGATATCTTTGGTCACAATCCTTAAGTTGGCCACTGCTTTGTCCAATGTAGGTGATAATGCTTCTATTAAGCATTTCTGGTATATACATGACACTGTAAATTTAGGGATTTCAAATGTACCCACAATTTCAGAAATATAATGTCCCATCTGTCTGGTAATTGCATGCTCCTCTTGAATTCATTTAATTCATGTTACCTTGTCATAAGCAGGCTAGCAGGTATTCATGTTGTTCTCATCAGATGTCAGAGCATAACTGATATAGGTCTGAGAATTTCCTGATGTCAAAATATAGTGTTACCAGTACCTTTACATACTGTACTCTCATGATTTTTAGCACATCAGTGTATAACTTCATTTCATAATGAACATTATAGTTCAGTCATTTGATATAATTTTTGATAATTTAACTCCATAGAATCTCTGTATTTTCTGTCTTTTACAGCAAACAAAATTTGACTTTATAATTGTTCATTCTCTTCTCTCCTTTGTATTTCAGAAGATAATGTAAGCAAAAATGGCATCTCATTATTCTGACCAATTTTGTAAGAAACAACATTCAATTTCAATGAAGTGATTGTATTTAAAAAAATATGAATTAACCAAATTGCTTAATATTTTCATTTGTATATTTAGAATTTAAATGGTTCTTTCCCCACACACACACACACACACTTCTGGCTCACTTTATCTGTACCATTTTTCTGAATATTTCTATTTTGATTAAAGAGTACCTTTCTTTTTCAAATTGATATTCATAGTAAGATATATTATGTTTAATATCATATTTGATAGATATATTATGACAATTTGCTTTTTCTCCACTCGTTTTCTTCACCTTAAAACAATTCATTTTATAAATCATAAAGAACTTTTTCTAAGTCTG